CAAGGATGGACAGCTCTGGCGCTCTCTCTTTCTCTCTCTCTCTGGGCACCAGTGCACCCACCATGTTAAGCCCTGTTGAGCCAGTCAAGCCAAGCCCCCAAGAGTCCCTGTACAGCATCAGCAGGACAGTAATACCTTTTGCAGACAATAGTGGCATAGAGTTAAGTAGGAGCTCACACAAACAGGTTATATAACATGTGGAGGTGTGCGCCTGGCTGCCAAACTTGCTGAATCATGCAGGCATGGATATCTGCCTTGGCCTATTCCTTGACAAAAGCACATCCACGTACCCTGTACTCCACCCGCTAGGCCGGGGGAGACATGGATTTTGGATACACAGGTTGACACATAGGCTTTGGGCACGCAGGCCTGATATGCATAAGCCTCAAGAAACTGCCCAACTATGGGTGCATATTACCATAGGTGTCACCCTCTTGGAATTATTGTTCACACTGCCCAGAGTTTAGCTCATTAGCTACTCTGTTTATACCTGGTTTCAAGCCATATGGCATCAGTACAAGGCTGAACTGTGACACTGTAGCACCCCGGCTAGGCCTATCTGTGTATCATGCCCTATTAGGAATGGGGGATGCGCTTCCTAATGGTGAGGGCTCAGGGTCTAGGGCTGCCTCAGGCCCATGGCCTTATCTTGCATTAGGACTGTAGGCCCCAAAACCTCCTGTGACTCTGCTGCTAAGGGACTTGTATTCAGTGTACTTCACTGTTCTAACTAGTGCCTGACTTCACTAAAGTGGATATCTGCACTTGGGAGGTCATGACCCATGAACACACCCATCCCGCTACTGGGTAAGTCATCTGCACAATGACTGTAACCGTCCTGACATGCTTTTATGAGCCTGAAGGGCAGCATATGCAGTGACTAACTGCTTTCCCAGTTCAAGGGGTGGTTATCCATGAATGCACCCATCCCACTGTTACTAACTGCTTCTCTATTAATGAACACTGGAGCTTAGCTCCCTTCCATAGTTGGGACCAAAAGCCTACTGGCATACACAGGTGCTCCGTGCACTGCTATAAGCCTTAACTATAATTATCTGTGGTTATATCTACATCTAGCTTAAATGGGCACCTCTGGTTGACTACTCTTGGGACTTGTGCTTGCTTAATAGCCTGCTTGGCTACCAGGAAGGCTGTCTCAGCTGCATCATCCCAATCCCAGGCAAGAGGGGTGCTGCCGCTTCTAAACCTACAAGTGAGTCAGAGGTTAATATAACATCATCAACAAAACCATGACATATGATGGGGCTATGCATATAGCCCTGCAGCAACACCGAGAAAGTTCATTGTTGCCCACCCATGAAAGCAAACTGTTCCTGGCTCTCAGTGGAGTGTCCCAGTTCCATTGTCCAGAGGTCCATGAAGTCTGTGACAGATGGCACAGCTGCCAAGCTGTGCACAACATCCACCCCCAGAATGTCCTTAGGCATGGGAGAGACATACACAGTGCGTAAGCGGAGAGCCAAGTGGCTAATGCCAAGATGCAAAGACACAGGTTTCACTTTCACTGACCGGTCTCCATAGCCATCAATAAATGCAACTCTGCCTGGAAACTTATCCGGGTGCAGGGGCCAGTGGATTGCCAAGTTCATAGGTGGCTCTGGTTGTCCAGTGCTCCCCACAAGTTGGATATCTGGGCCAGTTTCTTATCAAACAGAAAAGGTTTTACACTTTTGCCAGCTGCAGGAGGTATTCTTTGAACTGGACTGCTCAGGCAGGACCAGGTTGTACAGCAATGTCCTCCTCCTCCTGAATGACTTGCACTAAGTCTGTACATGACTGCAGACATTATTTACTTAGCGGGGGTGCAGGCACCATAGGAAATATGTTCCACTACGATGGGGGATCTCTGGGCCCACCCTTGGGGCCCAACAGCTGCTTATGCTCTATTTTCTGATGGATAACTGGGCAAGCCTGCAATGGAGTTTCTTCCCTCTCCCTGCGCTGCATCCTGTAGGGACTAGGAAGGGACTGGGCATGCAATTCCCACAGCACAGTCACAAATGCCCACCTGACTCTGCTGGTAAAGGCATGCTTCTTCCAGTGCTGTGCACTTCCAGGTGCTTCAGTACCTTCTCCACACTCGTGGGGGATATGTCCACTGCCTCCCATGTTTCCACTGGGGCTCATCCAAGCAGCACAGCTGCCACTAGATATCACAGCCCATGCAGCAGCCACATAGCTGACCCAGGTGCCCCAGAGGCTGAAGACCCCCTCACCTCATCCCATCCTCATCGCCAGTTGTCAGATCCCACGGTCTGGGTCCAGTTCATGCTGAAGTCTCAGGGAGTGAGTGGATGGGCAGAAATGACACTTTGGGGGCCGTAAGGAGGTGAGATGTAGTTTTAACCAGAGCTTTCTCATCAACAGTTTTCTTACTGTCTGCCCTGTCTCAGCTGCTTGAGCCAGCCACCCCCATGCACAGCTGCGTGGCTGGCTCTCCTTTGCTTTCAGGGTCAGCAGCTAAACTCTTTCTCTCTCTGGGCACGAGCAAGGTAAGCTATGTCCTGGCTCCCTCTTGTCTGTCTGCAAAGATGTACAGCTCTGGCTCTCTCTCTCTCTCTGGGTGCCAGTTACCTGCCATGTTAAGCCATGTTGAGCCGAGTTGAGCCAAGCCCCAAGGGCCCCTGTACAGTGTCAGCAGGACAGTTATACCTTTTATAGACAATAGTGGTGTAGAGTCAAATATGAATTTACACAAACAGGTTATATAACAAGTGGAGATGTGCACTTGCACACCAAACTTGCTGAGTCATGCAGGCCTGGATATCCACACTGGCCTATTCCTTGACCAAAGCACATCCATGTACCTTACACAAGTTATAGGACATGTCACTGGGTTTGGGACCATAATTTTGAGAGCCGCTGAGAAAGTCATCATTCTTCATTATTCTCCAGAAAAAAGTAACAACCAAGATGGACAGAGACTCTCTGGGCCTCCAGGCATCTGCTGCCAGAGGACATTGTTCAGAGCCACCTGTGTGTTTGTGGGATCTGCTGTGTGGAACTCTGGTCAGTGGCTTCTCGTATTGGAGAATAAAGAGTCTGCTCTTCTGTTATTGTTAATAAGCTCCTACCCTTTGGCTTGAGAGTCATAAAAACCCCACTTTTACTGATGTCTTTGGTGGCAAATAGCTTTATTCTTGCTTTCCTATTCCAGAACATTTATTATTTAATTGGATTTTTTACATACACATCTCTGGGGTTTCTTAATAACTTTCAAAATTGAAGTACGATAAACCCTTTAGCATTCACTTTAATATCCCCAGTCACAGAGAACTTGAGTACCTGGCTCATGGGCCACTTTTCAACTCCAGCTATGTGGATCTTGGTCTGTCTTTGTTCTCCCTCACTTGAACGTACATGTAAATATGTGCATACATACACATGTGCACATGCATGCATATCCCACATAGAAATTTAGGCTGATGACATCATCCTCGGGAACTTCAATATCCACATCATCGACTCTGCCCGCCTCTTGAAGCATTGCCCCTAACCTGTCTGCAACAAGAGGTCATGACTACAAGAACAGTGACATTTGTCTTTTGACCTCCCCACCCCTAAACTTCCTGCTTAACCATGACCTCTTTTAAACTCACAGTGAGCCTATGCTAGGAGATTGTGTGGCATAATAGAAAGAACAGGGGCTTTGGAGTTAAATATGCACAGTTTTAAATCCTTTCCAGCTGTGCAACCTTGGGTTTTTAATGTCTGTTTTGGGAGATAATACCTACATTACAGGCTTGCTGAGAGAGTTAAATTAGACAATACATGTAAAGCACTTAGCATGTAGAAGATGATGAACTAGCGAAATTTATTACCCTCCCTACACTTCAGCTGTGCACAGGGTTAATCACACATTGGGCCTTACCTGTCACTCAGATTTGCTCTGCCTCCAAGACCTTCAGTCTGGAGTTTCTCTCTAGAGAGAACATACCATGGGGAGGCTGGATGGCATGGGATGCTGGAATCACAGCAACAGAAGGAGAGGAAAATGGCAGAGATCCTAAGCCACTGGGTAACTAGCCCTTATATCTCACCTTATTGTAAAGTTAGGGCGTTGATTCAGAATCTCTGAGGTCCTCTCTAGTTCCAGTATTCTATTATTCTTCAACCCCAACTAAGTCTCTTCATTGCCATCCCCATGATTTCCAGTTCTCTGTATTTTTGCAGCTCATTAGTTCTCATCTCAGCAAACTTGCCTTCCATCAACCTTTCATTTAAGTCGTCTCTCTTCTAATTTGCTATCATAAATCCTATGTTCTAGCCAAATAGAATCATACTGGTTTACTTTTCTTCATGGTGTGCCTTTTTTCTAATCTAATGTGTTATTTATTTTGTGTTCATATGTCTTCCTTACAAGGATATAAGCTTATTGAAGGCAGATACTTTTATTCATTGCTGTACCCCTGCACCTAGACTAATGCCTAGCCATAGAAGATGTGCAATAAATATTTGTTGAATGAATTCCCTGCCTTCTCATCATGCTTCCACACATGTGTGTTACTCCAGTTGCTGATTGATTAACGTGGGGCAGGAAATAAATTGGAAATGTAAGGATGATGGATCTTGATCCTCCTGACTTGGAATCTAACCTGACCCTGCGTACCTTCCTTGGCAGTGACTGCCTGCCAGAGAGTACTCTCCTGCCAGTGGTAATGGTCCAAGTGTGTGCACCCGTGGACAGTAGGTGTTGGACTGCTGGCCACCTTATTTGGGCTTCTGTCCCACCAAGACACTCTCTCTTTTTCTTCTCAAAAGGCTTGTTGCTGAGGTGCCTTAGGCCTGGCATATTCCCATCATAATGACATTAAGTTTTGTTCAGGTGAAATTAACTGGCCACCCCAAAAGGCTAGGCAGGTGAGAACCAGGAGGCAAGAATCCTGGTTCCAAGTGAATGTCTGACATGTGACTGTGGACAAATTAATCCAAAAATACCTTAAAAAATGGCTTTATTTTGGAGAGTAATTTAAGTTCACAGAAAAATTGGGCAGAAAATACAGAGATTTCCCAATGCAAGTGTGAAGACAGTTTCTTCTAAGAGACAGCAGTCTGGTTGGGAGACAAGACACACATACACAAAATCTTTTATTTTTGTCTCCAACGTATTTCTCGAATGTGTTCTCTTCTTCCCATCTCCATAATCTATACTATAGTTTTCACCATATCCAACTCTGCACCTTCATTTGAGATAGCATCTCGTCTTACCTGGATTACTGTGGCTTCCCACCTCATTCTATCATGTCCAGGCTTGCCCCTTTTAGTCTTTTCTCCTGTAGAAGAATGATCTTCCAAAAATCCAAATCAGATCATGGTGCTCTCTTACTTGAAGCTTCCTGCTGGACTTTGAATTTAATTGACCCCCTACCTTGGCTTATTGGGGTCTGTTTGGTTCTTCTGTGCCCACCTCTCCTTCTTCCTCTGGTGATCCTCTCTGGTTACCAGCTTAGATGCAGTCATAAAGAACTTCTTGTACTTCCTTAAACACTTGATGTCTTTCCCACTTCAGGGCCTGCCTGTGCACATGCCATAGGTCTGCCTGAAATTCTCTGCTTCTCAACCATCCACCCTGGTCTTCATATGGCCAGCTCCTTCTTATCACCGAAGTCTCAGCTGAAAAGTAATCTTCTTGGAGGATTTCTCCAAATCAAATTCCCTGGTCATTCCACTGTGGGGCATTATATGTTTCCATCATAGACCTTATCACAGATTGCAGTGATTTACCTGTTAATGTACTTGTCTGTCTGCATCACTAGACTGTAAGCTCCCTGAGGCCAGGGACTATGCCTTCTTCAATGTTCTACTCTTATAACCTCAATACCTAGCACAGTACCTGACATGCGGTAAGCCCTCAATAAATATTTTAACACTGAACAAATAATGACTAACTGCCAAACACAATGCTCCATGGGATGGCACTGTGTCTTTGTATAAGCTAGCAAAGCAGTGAAAGATTTTGTTAATTGCACTTATGGTAACTATGCGCTGTGTCAGTTGTCCTCAGGATAACTTTACATAATTAAAAACATTTAAAAGCTATTTAACACATTAAAATCATGCAAAAATACTAAAATTAAACTGTATATTCTGCCATATTGGATATTTTGCTATTTGTCATGCAGATAGTTTATTTCAAGAACTTCTATTCATAATGTGTATCATGCTTGCTTCATTTAAAATCAGTACTGAGATGTAGTTTCCGTTTCCTGAAAAACATCTTTAATAAAGACAATCGCACTTTGAGGGAGATGACCCTCCTTTCCTAAGGGTCCCTTTTGGATTCTCCAAGAGTAGAGGGTAGCTCTCAGTTACAAATCCTTCTCTGTTAGGCCTTGAGTTGTAACAGTCTTGTTGGGTGGTTACAAAAGTCAACTTTCTCTGTTGTATCAACTTACAAAAGGCAGTTATTCTAAAACATGTACTACAGACTGCTTAGTAAAATATCTGCCGGATGTTGTTGTAAGTCATTTTATGAACATGCTACATGTGGCAGTAAGCACAGGGTATGTTTCTGAAAGAGCAGCTGCCTCTCATTTCATCTGACCTGATACTTATTCATCATGTTTACTGGATTCAATGGCCAGCTTAGTTGCGTTGGAACATGGGCCTGATGCCTGTTGGCAGCTCTGACTGTCTGGGTGCCTTTCAGTTTTATCCCTTTGATTGTCAAGCAGTTTTGCATTATTGATAAATTACAGGTATGGTACTCAGAGGGAGGATGGGGGCATTTCAGAGTGAATGGCGGTGTCCTTGGGTCTGATGCTCACTTGGACTCATCCATCTAGACAATTCTATGTAGTAAAGGTGTGTTTATGGGATTAGTTATTAATCACAAAACAGGATAGGAGTTACTTGACTGCTAATTATAACATTGGATGAGCACATAAAAATCATCATAATAAATAATATCATCCCTGTAGAACCCTTCACATAAAATCAGTCCTGTCAGACAAATACTTATTTACATAACACAGAATCTTAAAAAGAAATCCTAAAAAACAAGCAACAACCAAATAAGCAAAATATATGTATAGAACCTAATAAAAATTAGTACCTTAAAAAATCACTACAAGCTATGTTTTCTATAATTATATCAAACCCTAGAGTTTTAACTATGTAATAGTAATTTTTTCGTGTTTTTGCTGTTATTGTCCTTTTGATTTACTTAACTATGTCTAACTTGAACAAACAATGTTAAGTGGGGAAACAGATGCGATTAAATAGCCCGTAATTATGTTTTTAGTCAACTGCCACCATCACAGACTCCTCCTGTTACTCGGACCAGAAAAAAGTGACCTAACTGATTTCACCAACTGCTTTGCCAGGCCCTGATGCAGAATAGATGGCCTTATTAAGCAATCAAAAACCAGCCATTACAGAGGAATGGTAATCAACAGTGTTTATACAGCCCACACACTAGCCCCACAATACACAATCAGGACCATGAATTCTGCTAATTGGGTACCTTCTGTGTCCAGAGGTGCCTGCAAAGGGAAACAAAAGAAACTTGAAAATTAGTGTTTGTAGCAATTAGTTTCTGTCTAAAGGCTTAACCCAGTTCAGGGAAACCATGATTCAAACAGGGATTATTATAGCAACTCTGGTATTTAAATGTCTTCAGCCATTATTTGAGGTAGGATTTAGCTTTGGCAAAAGTAATGTAGATTCATCTTCTTTTTTAAATTTACTTAAAATGATTTTTGTTTTGAACTTTTCAAAAATCAAAACCATTAAGCCATTTGCTACTTTGAATGTTCTGGCTTTGAGTAGTGTGTGTGTGTGTGTGTGTGTGTGTGTGTGTGTGTGTGTGTGTTTATACCTTTTGATCTTGTTCAAGACCGGCTGAAAGGACTGTTAAATACATGTATTGTTGGGAAGCTCTGCTCAGAGGAATAATATAGTTGAGTTTGTCGTGCCATTATTTCTCGCAGAATGATCTGTGGTTTAGTGGGAACCACGGGGTGTAATTCTTGGTTAAGGGAAAAAAGGACAGCCAGTGTTTTATTTATACATGTATGTACAAATTCACATTCTAAGTAATAGTGCTAAAATAGTTGAAGAGGAGAATGTAGAGTCTCTGTGTGTATTTCATCTAAGTAAACTCGCAGGGCATTTCCAAATGGGCCCCACTGAAAGCCCAATGGATTTTATAAAATTGATTACAAAAAGCCTTTTGCCCTTTTCTTCTCTTTTAGTCTTTAGCATTTCTGACGTAATAATCAGATAGACAAATCTCTATGCTTTGCTTCTGTCTTTATAGACTCCCTGCTGTAGATGTTCAAAGGGCAAATTAACAGTAGCACAATTCGAGGGACCTCTTCACCTCCCATAGAAAGCATCAGCTGCAGGTTCTTGCTGTCCTGAAGCTCTCCACATGGTTGTAGAAGGATCATAACAATGAAGAAAAATGGATTAGGAGGGGAAAGGAATAAGCCTAATGATTCAGAAGAAAACCAAAGAAATAATCGACACTTCATTTTCTGTGATTTAAAGGCTACATGAGCAAATGGCAGTTTGTCTTTTTAAATTTATTAATCATTTGCTGTCTCCAACTACTTAAATGATGGTTAACCACTGTCAATAAGTATAGTAAAAATTGTATTATTAACACCAAATTTCACATTATTAAGACAGAAATTATAGAAAGAATATTGGTACTTTGAAAACAATCAGAATAAGTATGATAGTTTTAGAGACTCTGTAACAACATTTTACTCCTGACTGATTACATTACATATTGATATTAGTGAGCATCAGTATGTAGTGCAATCAGTCAGGAGAAAATGAGTGAAATGTGAACTAATGAGAACTAATTGTGTCACATAATAGCAAGGACACAGAATTCTATCAATTAAATTAGTTTGAGATGAAACAAATATGAATATAATAATGTTTATAATAATGAAGCAATTAGAGCTAATGAAATAAACGTTAATAAAGACCAGGTTCCCTAGCCCATTTCTGCCCTTCTCCTTCTAATTCCTCTAAACTTTGAGTTGTATTGTATTCACTGGAATCTTTTCAGCCATTGATGCTTGTTTCTTTGTATGTTGGAAGCTGTAGGGATGAAGAATACAAACCTTCACCGTTTGCATGTTTCTTGTTGTCGTACCTGTAGAAGGCTCCTCATGGCCTGGCGTATCATCTCTTGGCAAGGTACCCTTTTCCCTCTGATGAATAAATCATGCCTTGTTCCACAGAACTTTTACTTTCATATACTGTTTTTTCTTTACCTGGGTTAGAAAATTGGCACTTCTTGGTGTCAACATTGATCTTTCTTGACATATTGGAGAGTTAACCGCTCAGGTCTGGTGCCTCTCCATTGTGTAATACAACTGGATTTTGCTTATTAGTCACTTCCTTGGTGTCCTTAAGTCTTTGATGATCATGCCACTTAGTACCCAGATACGAAGAGACTCAACTGGGATGGCAAAGCCAGTTTCTTAAGTATCTGATTAGGAATGTACTCTCGAGGAGAAATTACACTCACATCTTTCAGGAGATAGTTTTGGAGTCCCAACTTTAGTCTGGCAAACATCAGCAAAACAATCAGGAACTGTATTCTGTATTACAATTTAGATTTCAGACTCAACGCCTATGTTGCTAAGCATCTTATAGAACACTGAGGATGGGTGCTAGGGAAGATGATACAGCAGTTTATTTCCAATCAGCTCAGAAACTCACCCATTTTGTTAAGACTACTACCTTCCAAGGAATGATGCAATAGCAAATTATGGATTAAGAAAAAAGTATTTTTGTGGTGCATGCCTATTCTATTATGAACACTACATTGGCAATTAATGACAATCTTGAAAGATTTTAGTAATTTCTTCTTGATTATCTATTTGGATGTTACTCTGGTGTATTTATATTTATTCTCAATCTAGGCTCTAGCTAGTTAGTGTTAGTAAATGATATTTGGCCATTAAAATAGGTGGTACTCTGTGCTGTGAAAGTTTCAACAAACTTTCTCATTTGGCTACCGTGTTTTTATCATGTATATTATTGTGTTTTTGCTTTTGCTTTTGTATTACATTAAAAAGACATCAGAACGAGCTGTGAGTTAATGTTTCACTTATAAAAGGTTATGGATTACTCTCAGCTGGTTTCTCAGGCTGACACAGGGTTCATGATTAGAAGAATGAAAACAAACATGAATTGAAAATGTCACTAACCTTTATTGGGCTCTGAGAATCCCGGAGTCTGCGTGACAGGAGGCTTTCCTGTTTTCAGCACTATAAAGAAGATTGAAACAAAACAGCACGGATCTTGGCTATTTACATCTTTTAATGAATGCTCTTCACGTTTGGGTTCCTTTGTCTGTCTCCCAGTTTTCAAGGGTTTAGCTGTGAAAAGTGCGGATGGTATCACATAGTCTTATAAACCATGGAGCAGACATCTGTCTAGGATGCTTTTTTCTTCAAATTACACTCAGTGTAAAGGGCATATATATAGCTGTGCACGTATAAGTTAGCCAGTTATCTACTCTCAATGCTCACTAGCACTGAGTTGGAAAGTATTTTCAAATATACTATTAGTAAAGCTGTGTGTTTATGTGGGTATGTGGTGAAGGTATATTTAAGATGAGATCTATCTTATATGTGATGGGACCATTAGGTTTGAATCTGATAGTGCTGTCTTTAAAAACCTTTTATGAATCATAAACCCTACATCCCAGGACCTCATTAGACTAGACAAAGTAACATGAACTGAAACAGTCTGTTTACACGAACCGTAGAGTGTTTAGAGATTAAACTGTGATACAGGAGATAAAAAACACGTTTGAACAGCAATAATTTATTTGAGCTTTAAGTTTCTATTAAGAATCCTGTCTTTGTTTCTGTACAGTGATTTGGACTTTGTTGTTCTTGACCTAATATGAATAACCTTGCAGCATCTGAAACATATGCGTATTTTTCTTTCCCCTTTAATTTCTCTCCGTGCTACCTCTTGATCTGGTGCACCTTGTGACAAATTGTACTATAATTTTCACTGATTTCATACGTAATTTGAGAAAATACTCTATGAATATCACTAAGGAGATCTCAAAATAAAGCACATTCATTTATCTGCACTGCAAATACGTAGTGGGTGAGGAATTTTAGACTTTTACAAAGGCATTTACTTGTTCCCACATTAAAGTGAGTTCTATAGGCCCACGTTTAGTCCAACATTATTTCAAAGACTGGTATTTCATGGTGTAACTTTGGCCTATAATACAGATTTAAAGACATTCATTGGTTGACTATAAGTGTTTTGGAAACAAATTTATGCCTTTGTATTCTCAGTTTATCTAAGTATATATTATTCTTTGAACCCAGAATTTGTTTTTCTTTCTAAAAGAAGATTGAAATAATCCTTTGGCCAGAATAAATTTTCATTAAAACATATGAAGCATTTTTTATTTTTATTTTATTACAGCCTTAGAAAAATTATATATAATTAATAATAATATAATAAAGCAAAACTTATGCCCAAATATTGACCATTAAGATCAATATTATTATTTTTTCTAAAAAGTTCAGTGCTTTTTAAAAAGATCACTTCTAAGTGATCACTTGGAAGGTCTTCTTTTTATTTATTTTTATTTTTTATTTTTACAGGCACATAGTAGGTGTATATGTTTACGGGGTACATGAGATACGCTGATACGGCATACAGTGTGAAATAATCATATCAGGGTAAATGGGGTAGCCATCGCCTCAAGCATTTATTCTTCCTTTTGTTAAAAACATTCCAATTACACTTTTTTAGCTCTTTAAAAATGTACAATATTGTTGATTATAGTCACCCTGTTGTGCTAGCAAATGTTAGATCTTATTCATTCAACCTAGCTATATTTTGTAACCATTAACAGTCCCCACTTCCCTGCCCCCTTCCTCCATTACCCTTCCCAGCCTCTGGTAACCATCATTCTATTCTCTATCTCCATTAGTTCATTGTTTTAAATTTTTAGCTCCCACAAATAAGTGAGAACATGTGATGTTTGTCTTCTCATGGCTGGCTTATTTCACTTATCATGATGTCCTCCAGTTCCATCCATGTTGTTGCAAATGTCAGGATTTCATTCTTTTTTATGACTGAAGAGTACTCCCTTGTGTATATGTACCACATTTTCTTTATTCTTCTGTTGATGGACACTTAGGGTGCTTCCAAATCCTGGCTACTGTGAATAGTGCTTCTGTAAACACGGTAGTGCAGATATCTCTTTGATATACTGATTTCCTTTCTTTTGGTTATATACATAGCAGTGGGATTGCTGGATCATATGGTAGATCATATTCTAGTTTTTGAGGAAGTTCCAAACTGTTCTCTATAGTGATTTTACCTAATTTACATTCCCACCAACAATATAAGAGGATTCCTTTTTCTTCACATCATTGCCAGAGTTTGTTATTGCCTATCTTTGGATAGGCAATTTAATTGGGGTGAGATAGTATCTCATTATAGCTTTGATTTGCATTTCTCTGATAATCAATGATATTGAGCAACTTTTCATATGCCTGTTTACCATTCATATGTCTTCTTTTGAGAAATGTCTCAGATTTTTAAAATTTTATTATTAATTGGATTATTAAATTTTTTCCTACAGCACTGAGTTCCTTATATATTCTGGTTATGAATCCCTTGTCACATGGGTAGTTTGGAAACATTTCCTCCCCTTCTGTGGGTTGTCTCTTCACTTTGTTATTGTTTCCTTTGGTGTGCAGTAGCTTTTTAATTTGATGTCCATTTTCTTTTGGCTTGAGTGTGCATGTGGGGTATTACTTGATAAATCTTTGCCTAGACCAATGTCCTGGAGAATTTCTCCAATGTTTTCTTTTAGTAGTTTCATAGTTTGAAGTTTTAGATGTAAGTCTTTAATCCATTTTGATTTGATTTTTGTGTAAGGAGAGAGATGGGGATCTAGTTTCATTTTTCTGCATATGGGTATCCAGTTATCCCAGCACCATTTATGGGAAACAAAACAGACTGCTTTCTCCAATGTACATCCTTGGCTCCATTGTTGAAATGAGTTCACTGTAGGTGTATGGATTCATTTCTAAGTTCTCTATTTTGTTCCATTAGTCTATAAGACCAACATTATTTTTAAGCATGAAGTTAGAAAACTTGGTGGAAAGAAAGTTACTATTTTGGTATTTGTTTTGCTCAAAAGTGGCAATTTTATTATTGCTTCAATTTAAAAGATTTATTTATACATATAATATTATTTTATTTCAGAATAATCAATGGGCTTTTTCCATTTAAAATGTTTCCTATTTGGGAAAATGTTCAGGTTTTTCAGAGAAAGCAAATCACTCAGGTTTAAATTGGAAGGATTGTGGATCAGGAACCTAGCTCCAATTTTGATCTTGCTGCTCTAGATGATGTTGAAAGTCACCTAAACTCACTTTCTTCAAATTTATTTCCTTCCTTCCTTCCTTCCTTCCTTCCTTCCTTCCTTCCTTCCTTCCTTCCTCCCTTCTTTCTCTCCCTCCCTCCCTCTCTCCCTCCCTCCCTCCCCTCTCTCTCTCTCTGTCTCTGTCTCTTTCTCATCTCAATCTCTTACTCAGACTGGAGTGCAATGGAATGATCTCAGCCCACCGCAACCTCCACCTCCCGGGGTTCAAGCAATTCTCCTACCGCAGCCTCCCAAGTAGCTGGGATTACAGGCACCCACCACCATGCCTGGCTAATTTTTTGTATTTTTAGTAGAGATGGGGTTTCACTATATTGGCCAGGCTGGTTTGAGCTCCTGACCTTAAGTGATCCACCTGCCTTGGCATCCCAAAGTGCTGGGATTCCAGGCGTGAGCCACCACACCGGGCCCGATATTCACTTTGACAGAATGTGAAAACATCTGAAATTGAAGACATTATGAAATAAAGCCAATCACAAGACAACATATATTGTATTAGTCCCTTATATGAGGGACCTAGAGTAGCCGAATTTTACAGAGACAAAAAGTAGAATAGTGGTTGTCAGGGGAGGGAATATGGAAATCTTGTTTTCTGGATACAGTGTTTCAGTTTGAGAAGATGAAGTTCTGGAGATGGAAGGCGGTAATTGTTGCATGACAATGTGAATGTATTTAATGCCATTAAATTGTTCATTTAAAAATGGTTAAAACTGTAGATTTTGTGTTTTGTATATTTTACCACAGAATTTTGTTTTCATTGTCAAGGTTACCAATGACTTCTAAGGCGCCAACTCCAATGCTCAGTTCTTGGTTTTCACCATATCAAATCCCTCAGCATCATTCAACACAGAAAATCTTTCCCACTTCTTTACGTATTTTCTTCATTTGGTTTCCAGAGAATCATAGTGTCTTAGTTTTGTGGTTTCTTTCTTTCCCTTTCTTTCAGTGCTTCTTCCCAGTCCTTTTGTTGTGTTCTCTTCCTTTTAGTGATGCCAAATGCTCGGGAGGCCTCTTTTCTGCGTGATCTAAACTTGCTCATCACGAGATCTATCCAGTTTCATAACTTTAAATATCTACATGCAGATGGCCCACATTAGCATCTTCAACCCCTGTTTTTCTCCTTATGTAAACACTATTTTAAATATCTTCATTTATATGTCCAATAGACATTTCATATTTAACATTTAAAACAAAGGTTGATTTTTTTTTTCTCCTAAACCTGATTTTCACTCATTGTTTACCATCTCAGTTGCTGGCAAAACTCTTTACCTGGTTTCACATGACATCAATCAATCAGTCAATTTGAGATCATTCTTGACTCTTCTTTTATACCATATATCTATTCAATTAAAAAAATCCTGTTGGTAATGCGACCTTCAGAATAAATCCCAAATCTGATCATTTGTGACCATTTCTATTCCTGGTACACTGGTCTAAGCCGCCCCTGTCTTTTTCCTGGAACTTAGCATTGGTTTCCTACCTAGTCTCCCTGCTTCTACTCTTGATACTTCTCCCTCCTTCAAGTCTATTCTCTTACTAGCACCTCTAGTGCTCCTATAAAAATCTAAATCTGGGCTGGGCGTGGTGGCTCATGCCTGTAATCCCAGCACTTTCGGAGGCTGAGGGGGGTGGATTGTGAGGTCAGGAGTTCAAGACCAGTCTGGCCAACATGGTGAAACCCCATCTCTATTAAAAATACAAAAAATTAGCTGGGCGTGGTGGCAGGCACCTGTAATCCCAGCTACTTGGGAGGCTGAAGTGGGAGAATTGCTTGAACCTGGGTGGCAGAGGTTGCAGCGAGCCGAGATCGCACCACTGCACTCTAG